TTTTTAAAAAAAAAAAAAAATATTTTTCACAGTTTCCTACGGGGTAACTCATCAAAGTAGAGCACTATGAGGGACATTTTGTCCGTTTGGCTCTATCTCTAACCGTTGAGGCGACCCGGGTGTCAGCGCCGCAGGCCCAGGGGTTGGTAACTTAACGCATTAGCGTTATGCGTTGGTTATATAAATTAACGTGTAACGCATTAGCATTATGCGTTAGTTATGTAACGTAACGTTTAACAATATGCAAAAAAGTTAAAGTTAGTGCAAATCCTGGCAACCAGCCCTGAGTGGGTCTGAGTGGGTAACAAATAAATAGGGGTTGGTCTAAGAAGTGGGATAAAAACATTATTTTTAGGGTCTACAAAGGGGTACCTTGAGAAACTAGATATCTTTGGTCTAAAATTTCATCCGTTTGGCTCTATCTCTCACCGTTTAGGCGCTAAAGCGAGGGGTCGTCAACTCTCCTTGGCCGTGTGCGGAGTAATGTTGAATATTACAAATAATATTAGTAATATTGAGCCAATTTTCAAGCTGTGACGTCATAATACTAGAAAAATGTGTAATATCGAGGTAATATTACCAGTAATATGGCTAATATTGGTGTAATATTTGAGGTAATATCAGTCCGTGTACGGAGGAATATCGAAGTTGACGACCCCTCGCGCTAAAGGGAATTTCTCTCACAAAAGTGGCCCAAAAAAATGAATGTCTTAATTTTAGAAAATATTTGATGGTCCCCTGCGGGATAAATCGTGAAAGAAGAGCCCTTTGGGCTTAAATTTCGTCCGTTTGGCTCTATCACCCACCGCCGAAACGCTAAAGGCAGTTTCACTCACAAAAGTGGCCCAAAAATAAATATATTATTTTAAGAAAATATTTGATGGCCTCCGAAGGGGTAAATCGTGAAAGAATAACCCTCTGGGCTAATATGTCGTCCGTTTGGCTTTCACTGTTTACTCTCAAAAGGGAGTTTATCTTACCAAAATGGCAAAAACAGAAATATGCCGTCGGTTCCAAATTTTGTTTTAAGCAGAAGAGCGGGCTGATTTTATGGTGGCACATCATTAATAAAATGTGTACACGCCCATTCCAAAAGAAGCAAAAACATTTATTTCGTTGTTTTGTTGTACTCCACAAGCTGCTCCCTTTCTATCAGTGATTGTAGCGAAATCATTGCGGACACGTTCGGAGTCATTTCATAGTATGCCTGGAAGTATATGTAACTTCTTATGGGTCTAGTCTTACATATCTTTTCAAAGTCGTGTTATTGGATCCATAAGCTAACATCAATAACTTAAAAGGGATTTGGCATAATGTGTGCAAGTATTCTACAAACTGCGGCACACACAGCCAAAGATGTTCAGCGTATGAAAAGATTGCTTTGTTTGTTGAGTTTTGATTACAAAGTGGACAGCAAAGGTACCTGGCAACTTGGTTTGGCGGAAGAGCGGGCCTAGCTTGTTTCTTCTTCCTGTACTCCTTCCTACCCCGTCCAACACAATCAGGGTTGGTTGCCAGGATTTGCATCAACCGTTTCGTTGCCCAGAAGTGGCAACAATGATACCCTGAAAATTTCAGACCTCTAGCTCACGTCTTTCTTGGGGATCGGACAGACACAGGGGCGATGGCATCAGCCCACTTATAGCCTTTAAGCAAAACAGCGGGCTAAAAATGAGAAATATGACTCACCCGGGCTGCTTGAAAATTGCTTCAGCCATTTTGCTCACACCTTAGCTGCGAAGCAAGCGAAAAGCCACTGCTGCCCCTCGTGTGATGTAGCTGCCTGCTGTGCCACGATGTGGTGGCCGACCAGCCGAACAGCACACTAATCTATGATTAGATACCATGTCAGTCTTGTACTCATGGCGTAATTTCCAAGATATCCTCCTAATACGGCTTGCAAATCGATTCGGACAGAATGCAACATTTTCGTTCTGTAGAGCAGGGTTGTTAACGTTACTTTGAAAACGTAACGCGTTAAAAGCTGCTCGTTACTTAACGATAACGCGTTATCGTTACCGCCCCGACGGAATAGACGATTTCAGGGTTAGGTGGTCCGCAGAAAAACATAAAAACAAACCGGAAAAGCACCGCCTTCTAATCGCCCCCTAACCTCCGTCCCTCTTCACCCCCCTTTTAAAACGAAATCATTCCGAAACTCGTCCGGGACTGTTCCAAAAGCAGTCCGATCGTCTCGGACACTTCCAAATATGTTCCAGGACAATCCGTCAGCAATCCGAATCCGACCCCGGACTGTCCGAAAGTAGCCCTCGGCACCCAGGACTGTCCGTAAAAAGTCCGATGCTACCGGACAGTCCCTAATAAGTCCGGTA